GTTTTGTCACGCTTTAGCCTCGCAATAGAGTGATCAGAGTAAAAAGACCACATATTATGAACACAATTAAAATAAATAATTAAATTTAAATATCTATCGTATAAACAATATTTTCTAACACAACAAAAACTTGTTTCATTTCAAATAACAACAAATTATATTTCATATAAATTTATTAAGTTAAATGCACCAAAAAATTGATTTTAAATTTCAAATGTATGAAATCCACGAGAATTCATAAAATCTATAATATAGAATCCTATTGAGATAATTTATAAATTTTAAAAAAATTCATTAAAATCTGAGTTGGGGACACGCTCCTAGTGTAGAGTACTGGAAGGTCATTGATAATTAGGTTTTTGGTTACCTAGAAAAACCAAACTAACATCGGTATACAATATTCAAAGGTCTCAAGTATGTTAGAAGGATACATATATTTTGGATATATTTTTCTTGCGATACTTATGATTACTTACATTTTTCTTATATTCAAAACCTTTAATAATCCTTAATATTTTCCATGTTTTTATAATGTTCCATCTCATTATTTTCTCTGAACAATGATTCTATGGACAAATTAAAGGGAATTAATTTCAATTTCCAACACAAACTTTTGATTTTTATCCTTTTTTTCCCTTTCTTTTCTTGGTTCGAGTTTGATCCGTCTTCTTTCATGAAGAAGATATTATTTTAGATAGGGAGATGCTATGAGTAACACCCCAAATTTCTCTTACTATTTTCATATGGGTCTAAACCTAATATTTGTTAATTAGCAAATGAAACAGCACGTCTAGCTTGATTGTCACACTAACGTCCAAAAGTTGAAATGATAAGACTCGACCCACTTATTTACATAAATGATTTATTTGCTTACGTGCACTTTTGAAATTTACCGTAAAGTATTTGGATAGAATATTTAAGTATTTTAGAAGTTGATAAAAATATATCGATATTATATTTATTTTGTAGCTCGTGTTAAATAGTATAAATTGAGCTAAAAAATAAAGATTTTTAGACTAGTTATACCCGAGTTATTTTGACAGAAAGAAAGTATTCTAAATTTTATATTTTATTAATAANGGTGATTCTACAGATGGTTCAAGCCTTGTGCAGGCCTATCAAACCCCTTCAATGGTCGAGATGGTTACTCGTTCTCAGGCCACATTGTTAAGCAGTCCTTCAGCTCAAAGGCTACTTCGACCAGTGTGGTCATTTTCATCTCGACCTAGGCCGAGGTGATGCTGCATCCTGATGCATCTCCGTTTTGGTTTCTTTCTTCCTTTACCATGATTGAGTTTCGTTTGTGGATGGGGCCATTCGAGAAACGAATGAATATTTGTCTCTCGATATTGTTCCTCTCTAGTTATGTAAAGAAATAAACTCAGTAATGTGTGCAATATAATTAGGGGAAGGCAAGGGAACACTAGCTAGGTTCACAACTAGTTTTTATCTCTTCTTGTGATTGGTGGGGGTGATGTAGATAGGAACATATGGTTTTTGTCTTTTGAGAAATTGGGTATAAGTTTGTCAGTTTGAAGATACTCCTGGACAACTTTCAGCTCTTCATATAAGAAAATTGTATTGTATTATCCTACATATTTATGGTAATTTTGCAGCTCGTCCCTGTTTAAATCCACCCTCTTAAGATAAAAATAAAAAATAGAAAGTGCATGCAAAAAGCCTCCAAAAAGCATGTTAGCTCAAGCTTGTAAAAAGTTGAGTTATTCAAATGAAAGATAAGGCCTCTGTTTGGCAAATTTATGATTTATAAATAGGAATAATAAAAGGAATGATGGTGTGTCTCAAGAAATGTGGGATTCTAATGAGTAATAATTATAAATGTGTGGTTGAAATTTAAATTCGATTTTGAGTTAATTTATAAATTGTATCCAAACGGTTTAAAAATGAAAGAAAGACCATCTTTACAATATTGCAAAGCATGAAGGTGGTTGCCAATTTGAATTCGAAGTTGACTTGAAACATCTGATGATGAAAAAAAGTAAAGGGGCTCCTCCTTTTGTTATTCACTTTTGATGGAAAAAGCTTGCATCAAAATCATTCATGGCTTTTGAATGTCTTTTCCATCTTTCTTTTTTTGTTTTTCTCTGCATTTATCTTTACAGCTTTTTGGTTTGCACTGCATCCACAGTTTGGTGAACTGTTGGAAAGAAAGAATCTTATGAAGCTATTCTTCACTTTATCCTTGTATGTTTCTTGGTGAATAAAAAGAAGGGATATTTACAAATGGTATATGGTGCAAGTACTCTATTTTACAAATCTACGTTTTGCACACTAACGGTTACAAAGAAAACACCATTTGATGAAATATTTACAAATATGTCGTTATAAATAGCTAAAATTGACAAAAATACCCTCAACAAAATAACAAATTACGCCCTATAATGTTTTTAGTTCTTGATTTTTCATTAAATACTTTTTCTTTAAAGGGTTTTTTATTCAATATATATATAAATTTTATTTCTCCTTTTTTTAAAACTAACATCAAATCAATAATTAAAAAAAAAAAAAAAACAGTAACTAGCTTGTGGGGTTCTAAAAAATTGTTATTTTTTCTTACTAGGCAGCTGTGGGAGCTTGTGAGTTTTAACCTTGGCTAGTCGTATTTTGCATTTTGACCATGGAGATAACGGGCATATGGGTTGACATTTAAAGAGGGGGGCTTGATGGACCAGCACACATTTTAGTTGGGGAAAAATTCACTTTCCCTATTTTATCTTTACCCTATTTCAAAAATAACAAAACAACTTTTACATTTTACAAATCAGAAATTTTGACTTATACATACACATTTATATAAATATTTATTTATACATATAAATAA